TGCTTCCTTTTAAGATTTTGAACTTAAGAGGGATAAGATAATTTTTTTTTTTCTCTACACGCCATTTTATCGATTTTACGCGATAAGCCCATACATTTGTCGTTTAAAATAATCGATAAGATTTTATCACGGCGTGCATCCTAGCCCAGCTGGTGAGGGGTTAAGATCTTTTTCAAAAAACTTGTTGTCTTCGGAGATTAGATTACATATTAGAATTAGTTTATAGTATAAGTACATGTTTTATTCTTATAGTACACCTTTAATGGTTAACTGTTATTAATACACGGACAGCATCTGGAGTTCTATATATGGTTTGTGGAAACATCTGGGTCGAGATCAAAGAATTGACCCATTTTAGTCTTACTTACGCTCTATTTGTAAGTATCGAATGTCTTGAAGATACGATAATGTACTGCATTTGCGATTCACACGTTCAATCCCCAGTGGGTATCTATTAAGTTCCTATTATAGAAATAAGGAAACCATCACGTACCTATACACGCTTCCTCTTATTTCCTTAAGTGAATGTTACAAAAGACCTTTATCGTAACTCGCCTTTAAAATTGTTGTTAGGTTGTTGCCAGAACAGTAATTGATTCTGCATGACCTGTGGTACCATCTACCTCGTTCCACGCATCAATTTAAAATTGAATCTTTGCTGTTCAATCATAAAGTTGTATGTCGTATGTGAAGTTACGATGCTGTATCTGGATTACCTAGTAATTGTAAACGTCGCCTAGTACATGCGTTTCCTAATGCGTCAATTAGTCGTATTGTGATAATAAATTGTTATGCAACCAGCGATTTGCATGTTATTATGCGGCAAGGTAATGTAACGTACCTGCAGGCAATAGTAAGTGCAGATAGGGTTGCCAGGTGTCCGGCTTTTTAGGGTCTTTTCCGGCCAAATATTGTGTTGTCCGACCTGTCCTTGGCTGGCTTTTGTTAGGCTTTGTGCTGGCTGCCGCGCCAGTCCAAACTCGAGCCACAGAATGTAATAATGTTCATTCAAAGATGATAGTACCTAGTACCCATTCATGAGCTATGACGCTAATTGCACCCTCCCCTCCCTCCCCCCCGTGACATGGTACGTTAGCTATTAAAAGGGTATGTCCGGCTTTTGGGGTAAAATGTCCGGCCAAATGAAGCACAGAGTCCGGATTTTGTGTTTTTGGACCTGGCAACCCTAATGCAGATAGATAAATGTGTGCAGACTGCAGACGCAATTTATCGATAAGTATATCGATGCATATCAGCTTGCGACGATTAAGCAACACGCGTACGCTTGTAGTTGTCATCTTGAGAAATGAGCAAGCAAATGTGCAAATTATTTGTTCATCAATATTTTTGAATAGCAGAACAGCCATCAGAATAGAAACAAAAGGTTGTAAGCAATATCTGTGTTATTTTCTTAAAAATGCAATCACTTTAATAGCACTTGCATCAATATTCTGAAATGTATTTTTAAAATTAGACCAAAAAACATTTGCGTCATTTAGGTTTCATAAGTGACGCAAATGTTTTTTTTTTGTAATTGTCATGGTTTTTTATTAAATTTTGTTACCGCAGCGCCTTGAAACATCTCTAGAACCAATAACTATCTCTGTTTAATTCAATATTTGACGACATCTATCTGATATCGGATACTGCCCTTCTTTCCTTTAAATCCGCCAACAGTCTAGTAATTAAGTTTCTTTTCTCTTTCACAGGCCAAATCAGAGGAGCAGCTGGCCTGCGAAAAAGAATGGCTGCAAACTGGCCACATGTGGCTGGCGCACCGCGGCGGTTTCACAGCGGTCGTCAGAGAGGGCGACGCAGACCCTGGCCGGGCGAAGGTCCGCGTCATACAGACTGGGGAGGTCCTGACCGTTGATGAAGATGATCTGGAGAAGGTAAGTTTCTTAGATTCAACCTACCAAATAGCCATTTATAGCTGGCGCATGTGACATATTCACAAAGGTCGCGAAGATCCACGTTGTTCAGACAGTGGATCAAGACGTCTTCATTATTGAGGATGATTTGGAGAAGTAATCTTACTCTGAGCAAGATGGTTGACAATTGGTCATTTGCGGTTGACGCACATGAAATGATCACGCGTCCGTGTCTTAAAGACAGGCTGTGGAAGGTAACTTGCTCAGAAAACTTTCTTAGCTTATAGCTAGCAGCCGGCCATTTGTCGCGAGCAAAGGTCGCGAAGTTCTACGTTATTCAGATTTCAGACAGCATGCTCAGGCTATAGCAAGCAACTGGCCATTTGTGGCTGACGCATAATATGATATTTGGCTATCGCATATGATATATTTGACGGAGTTCGTCAGAGACTTATTAGAGTGAAGATTTAATAAGTCATACACATACATACATCTTCTCAACGAGGTTGTGTTTCCATTGCTTACTCAAATACCCATTTCTATTTTTCCAGGCGAACCCTCCCCAACTGGAGCGCTGCGAGGACATTGCTTCTCTGCGCTGCCTCAACGAGTGCGGGGCACTGCACGTGCTTCGGTCCCGGTACGCGGCCGGTCTGCCACACGCTCGTGCTGGCCACGCGCTGCTCGTGCTAGGGCCTCCTAGGCGCACTGCTCCTGTGTATACCGAAAAGGTAAGTTTTGATGGCTGCTTGGTTGAAGGAGTAGTTTCTCCAGATCCGAAATGAGGCAGAGTAGACTTCGCTTCACTTAGCGGCCTAAACGTGTATAGTGAACGTGTAATGCCTGTGAGTTGTAGGCCTACTGTTGTGAAAATCATGATCAAAGTAAGCTTATACACGTTCCAGTGCACATACACAGGCCTCACCCCAAAACTAAGATGGTTCAGGCCCTCAAATCATGTTTTACTTATCTTTGTGTAGCAAGTGGTCAACATTAGTACAACAAGCATGACAAACGACCATAAAGTGATCATACATTATACTATTTTGACCTGATCGCTTTCCGCATCCAGCCAGTGTGACAATCCTTAAAAGAGCACAAATTAAATGGGTGCACCCGGAGCCGGACCCCACACTACCCTCCTGCGTAAGTGGCCAGTTCGTCGTCTTTTCTTTTTCAAAATGTATTCTTCTAAACATTTCAGGTGGCAGCCATGTTCCGCGGCTGCCGCGCCGACGACATGCCGCCGCATGTGTTCGCTGCTGCGCAGTCTGCTCACCGCTGCATGCTCGCGTCTAGGAGAGACCGCGCCGTGGTCTTCCTTGGAAGGTGAGTTTAGTTTCTACTGGTCCTTCCTTACGTGGCAGCTTTGTTCCGCGGCTGCCGCAGAACATGCTCGCTGCCGCGCAGTCTGCTCACCGCTGCATGCTCGCCTCTAGGAGAGACCGCGCTGTGGTCTTCCTTAGAAGGTGGGTTTAGTTACTAGTTCTTCGTTAGGTGGCAGCCATGTTCCGCGGCTGTCCAGTCTGCTCACCGCTGCATGCTCGCCTCTAGGAGAGACCGCGCTGTGGTCTTCCTTGGAAGGTGGGTTTAGTTACTAGTTCTTCGTTAGGTGGCAGCCATGTTCCGCGGCTGTCCAGTCTGCTCACCGTTCCATGCTCGCGTCTAGGCGAGACCGTGCCGTGGTCTTCCTCGGAAGGTGGGTTCAGTTTCTAGTTCTTCGTCAGGTGGCAGCCATGTGTTCGCTGCAGCGCAGTCTGCTCACCGCTGCATGCTAGCATCTAGGTGGGACCGCGCCGTGGTCTTCCTTGGGAGGTGGGTTCAGTTTCTAGTTCTTCGTCAGGTGGCAGCCATGTTCCGCGGCTGCCATATTCACCGCTGCATGCTCGCCTCTAGGAGAGACCGCGCTGTGGTCTTCCTTGGAAGGTGGGTTTAGTTACTAGTTCTTCGTTAGGTGGCAGGCAGCCATGTTCCGCGGCTGTCGAGTCTGCTCACCATTCCATGCTAGCGTCTAGGAGAGACCGCGCAGTGGTCTTCCTTGGAAGGTGGGTTCAGTTTCTACTAGTTCTTCGTCGCATGTGTTCGCTGCCGCGCAGTCTGCTCACCGCTGTATGCTCGCTTCTAGGAGAGACCGCGCCGTGGTCTTCCTTGGAAGGTGGGTTCAGTTTCTACTAGTTCTTCGTCAGGTGGCAGCCATGTGTTCGCTGCTGCGCAGTCTGCTCGCCGCTGCATGCTCGCGTCTAGGAGAGACCGCGCCGTGGTCTTCCTTGGAAGGTGGGTTTAGTTCCTACTAGTTCTTCGTTAAGTGGCAGCCATGTGTTCGCTGCTGTGCAGTCTGATCACCACTGCATCCTCGCGTCTAGGCGAGACCGCGCCGTGGTCTTCCTTGCCAGGTGGGTTTCTTCAAGTTCTACTAGTTGTTCAACTATATTTATTATTATTGGTTTTTGGGCCTTTACTTGCGCCAACTCGACCAGGTTTGATCTATTGTGGCAGCCCTTGTCTTTAGAGTTCACTGCTTAGTCCCGTTGAGTCTATAAATTTCCAGATTCTTTGGAGCGTGATATCTGCTATCTCATCCGGGTGCATGATGTGTCGCCCGAGATGGATACTTCTTTTGCTCATAAGCGGGAAGCATGAGCAAAGAACATGCATGGCCGTTTCTTCTTCTGTATGGCAGAATCTGTTCAACTATAGGGAGGCAAGTGAAAAGATGGAGGCTATGCCCACAGATATACAATGTTCAGAAAACAAGTGTTTTAAGCGAAATAGCCGAACAGTGAAGATCGGACTGGTCAACAACGACACGTGATCCGAGGAACGCGGTTTCGAACCCCGCCGCAGCTCCACTATTGTGTTATGGCAAACCCACTGGTAACATAAGCATAATATTTATCTTACCATGAGGGGTACAACATTCAGGCAACTTCAGCCAGGTCTGATTTTTCTTACCATGGGGTTAGAATTACTGACACACGTATTGATTCCTCATAAAAGGACCTACTGCAAAAAGGCTGAATCAGAGACAGCTTTCGGACGGACAAATGAAAATCAATTTAATTGCAAGTTGTACAATCATATTTAGTTGTTTTACCATGATTTGTTTAGCGAATTGTCTTGCTCCTACAGGTCCGGCTCAGGCAAAAGCTCAGCGATGCGGCACTGCGTGTGGTACCTGGCTACCGCGTACCCCGCGCAGAGTTCCAAACTTACTCCTGAGCGTTTCGACGCTGCCTTCGATGTGCTGTACACCTTTGGGTCTTGTCGGTAAGTAAATATACAGTGTGAGTCACGTTAAAGTGTACATATGAAAATAGATGAAACTAGACCTATTTTTATCGACAAAAAAGAGGTCAAAAAATTTTTGAGATTTTTTTTTAATTTCTTATAGATTTTTTTTTCTTCAAATTAGTTATTGTAAACAAAACGTAATAACTTTTAAACTAAGCGGTATATCCTGATAAAATAAAAACAGTAATAATGCTAAATAACAGGCAATACTAAAAAAATACATAAAGTACACAAAAAAGGCCAACAAATAATAAAAAATGATACTTTTTGAAAAAAATCTGCTTTTAAATTCGTGTTTTTTTGGTTATTTCATAAATTTCTCCGAAAAATGCCCCTATAACAGGTGGTTTTTATTACTTTGTATTATTCTCTATCGTATTACCTTCGTATAACCAAAAATCTCATGTCTCTATCCCTATCACAACGTTTGCAATGATCGTTTGAACTAAGCCTCTCCGAGCGCGCCATTCAATGCTTCGTTAACAACGAAACTGAAAATTGCTCTAGATTTGTAATTTTGATAAAGACAAGTTAGATTTCAAATAAAAACAAAAGATTTCGTGGTAAAATAAGCATTTTAGTTAAAATTAAAATTGTCTCTACCTGTAGCGGAGAATAATGTGGTGACAGGCCTTTGTTCAAACGATCATAGCAAATGTTGTGATAGGGATAGAGACGTGCGATTTTTGGTTTTACAAAGATAATACGATAGACAATAATACAAAGTAATAAAAACTACCAGTTATAGGGGCATTTTTTGGAGAAATTTATCAAATAACCAAAAAAACACGAATTTAAAAGCAGATTTTTTTCAAAAAGTATCATTTTTTATTATTTGTTGGCATTTTTTGTGTATTTTATGTATTTTTTTAGTATCACCTGTTATTTAGCATTATTACTGTTTTTATTTTATCAGGATATACTGCTTAGTTTAAAAGTTATTACGTTTTCTTTACAATAAGTAATTGGAAGAAAAAAAAATCTATAAAAATTTTAAAAAAAATATCAAAAATTTTTTGACCTCTTTTTTGTCGATAAAAATAGGTCTAGTTTCATCTATTTTCATATGTACACTTTAACGTGACTCACACTGTATTTTAGTATAACCTAAAAACAAAATATACACAAAAGAAATACCAAATCGAAACGGCGCTAAGTATTCAGTCGGTTTTATAGCTATGAAGCAAGAGAAAGTGGCTGCTGTAAAGTTTTTAGCAGTACCTAGTTTCACCATAAAATGAATATCAATTAGCTATTCTTGTTTTTTCATTACATATGATGACTGAATTCTTCAATTTTTTTTATTCTTTCAAATTAAATTCTTAGTTTTCTGGAATCAAATGTCTGTTTCAGAAGTTGTGTTAATATTTTTTGGTTAATGATGTCAACTACCCTAAAATAATTCGAAATTACGTCGTCTTTCAGCACCAGTTCGAACGCGCACGCGTCGCGCTTCGTGGCGCTGACGTCACTGGACTTCGACGGCGGCGGCGCGCTTGTATCGGCCTCGGTGCAGACACTGCTGCCCGACCTGAGGCCGGGGCAGACTCCCATGAGGGCACTGCACGAGTAAGTAAATAAACAATAATAATAAATAACTGTGCACGAGTGAGTTGTCTAGTGTTGGTGCTAGTTCGATGCTGACGTCACTACTCCGACGGCGGCGGCGCGCTCGTGTCGCCCAGAGCACTCGAACTTCGAATGCGCACGCGGTACTGACGTCACTGGACTTTGACGGCGGTGGAAGAAGTCTTTTCTTACTAAAAGGGGCAAACATTACACTTATAAAAACAACGATTCTAATCTGTATATTGAAAATATCATCTTTGTATATAATCGTTATTGATTTTTGTTTAAAAATCAACAATACTTCTACTAACGTCAAAAGTTCGTGATTTCTCATACACTTCCAGTACACTTTACAGGTACAAGTAATTTGACTGCTCAAAAAAAGCAATGATTTGAATTGACAGGAAGTCTCGAATCTGCTATATTAAATGTTTACTCAACCATTTTATTTGACGATTTTAGGTACTACTTATTTATAATCTAAACAAATACAAAAATTATAAACCTTTCAGCTTATTCCACGGCTGCGACGGCCGTCTTCGCCGCGAGCTGCTACTCGACCAAGCGCCTCTGAACGCGCCGAACCCTTTCATCAGCTGCAGCGAGAAGGCAGACGCGCCTACTGAATTCGCGGCGCTGAAGGAAGCGCTGCAGCTGCTGAGCGTTACCGAACAGGAGCAGCTTGCGATCTGGAAGTTACTGGCCGCGATATGCCATTTGGGATGGGCTGGCGCTGTTAAAGGTAAAAAAAAAGTATTTAAGTATGTTTTCCGTTGTCTAGTACCCATAGTACAAGCTTTGTTTAGTTTGGGACTAGAGGCGCGGTGTAAAATGTCCAAGGATATAATGTTTTTTCAGGTCAGGTATTTGACCTCAATCACACCCGACCTTATGTTAAGTGAGATGCAGTCCTATGATGCAGTCTAGGATGGTACATACCTGTCCTGTTAGTCCCAATCACTCCTTATGAAAAGGCAAATTATTATACAGCAAGTATTATTAAAAAATTATACAAAAATTCACTGATTTTCGGTCAAAAGAACCACGAATTGCCAGCAAAGTTTGTATGTCGTTAAATGAGTAACTATTGTGTAACTATTCAAACAAAAGGATATCTAGTACAAACTGACAAAACACTGTTACGGTCAACAGCACAACAGATTATACATTTGATGGCAAAATAGCTGCTATTACATTGTCATAAGATGCTACATTGTTAATCTTGATGTACTGTCGTCTGTACATTAGTAAATAGCATAATCTGGCATGTCTCTCATCACATTCATGCTTACCATTACAGCAACAACAGCATCGGGCCTCAAGTACCAGTTTGCTAGTACCGGTTGTGGGCAGCGTGCTGCGAGACTGCTAGGCGTCGCCCCCGAAGACCTGGCGAGATCCGTGTTCTCTGGAGCCACGCCCACTTCGCCACAGTCGGCTAACAACTTGAGGTAAGACTCCTAGACTTAAAAAACAATGAGGGCTTTCGTTTTTATACTTAACAGTTGGCACCCCTGGCGATTGACAGGACCTTACTCTACAGTGGCGCCATCTTGATGAGTGCAAATACGATAGTCCTTCTACCACTTTCGCGCTCACCAGTTGGCGCCACTGTCTTCGCTACTAGCAAGTGACAGGACGTTACTCTACAGTGGCGCCAACTGGTGAGCGCTAAAACGATAGCCCTCATTACGCTATAATTTAACAAATACGTCAGCGGGACAACTCACCAAACGTTTTCGTACAGCGAGATGGCAGCATGAGCGACAGAGATAGAACTACGTACTACGTCAAAGGCTTTACAGTAGAAACGTGAAGCGAGACTCCCAGATGCTACACAGTCATGTAGATATATCATAAGCTAGCAACAGCATCGGGCCTCAAATACCAGTTTGCTAGCACCGGGTGTGGGCAGCGAGCTGCGAGACTTCTAGGGGTCGCCCCCGAAGACCTGGCGAGATCCGTCTTCTCTGGAGCCACGCCCACTTCGCCGCAGTCGGCTAACAACTTGAGGTAAGACTCCTAGACTTAAAAACAGTTACGCTATAATTTAACAAAATACGTCAGCCGGACTACTCCCCAAATGTTTCATCATGAGTGACAGAGATAGAACTACTATGTAAGTGGCGTTAAGGTGTAGGTAGCCGTGCTTTTATGTAGCATTAGTTACAAATACCAGATGTAGAAACGTGACGTGAGACTCCTAGATGCTACACATGTAGATATATCATTAGCTAGCAACAGCATCGGGCCTCAAATACCAGTTTGCTAGTACCGGGTGTGGGCAGCGTGCTGCGAGACTGCTAGGCGTCGCCCCCGAAGACCTGGCGAGATCCGTGTTCTCTGGAGCCACGCCCACTTCGCCGCAGTCGGCTAACAACTTGAGGTATGACTCCTAGACTTTAAAGTAATATCACAATCAAATTAAAGAATCAGGTTGTAAGTGCCATTTCCAAGTATCTGTGAAAGAATTTACCGTGAGACTGCTGGGTTTTGCCCCCGAAGACCTGGCAATGTCTGTGTTCTCCGGAGCCACGCCCACTTTGGCGCAGTCGGCTAACAACTTGAGGCTTAAACACATGTAAGCTATAATTTAACAAATGATTTACCTGGACTACTCCCTAAATGTTTCCGTAAAGTGAGATGGCAGCATGAGCGACAGAGATAGAATTACTATGTAAGTGGCGTTAAGGTGTAGGTAGCAGTGCTTTTATGTAGCATTAGTTACAAATACCAGATGTAGAAACGTGAAGCGAGACTCCCAGGTGTTACACATGTAGATATATCATAAGCTAGCAACAGCATCGGGCCTCACGTACCGGTTTGCTAGCACCGAGTGCGGGCAGCGTGCTGCGAGACTGCTAGGTGTCGCCCCCGAAGACCTGGCGAGATCCGTGTTCTCTGGAGCCACGCCCACTTCGCCGCAGTCGGCTAACAACTTGAGGTATAGACTATTACGCTATAATTTAACAAATACGTCAGCGGGACTACTCCCCAAACGTTTCCGTAAAGCGAGATGGCAGCATGAGCGACAGAGATAGAACTACGTACTATGTCAAAGGCGTTGCGCCAGCTGTAGAAACGTGACGTGAGACTCCCAGATGCTACACATATAGATATATCATAAGCTAGCAACAGCATCGGGTCTCACGTACCGGTTTGCTAGCACCGAGTACGGGCAGCGAGTTGCGAGACTGCTAGGCGTAGCCCCTGAAGACCTGGCGAGATCCGTGTTCTCTGGGGCCACGCCCACTTCGCCACAGTCTGCTAACAACTTGAGGTATGACTAAAACAATCAGCACGAGCTGAGCAATGATGGGATGTCACATGAGACGTGACAGTCGGCTAATAACTGGAAGTATGACTTCGGGATCTTACACACAAGAAGTACATACATCATTAGCTGACAAAGACATCAGGTCTAAAGTAAACAGTTCCAAGAGTCAATTGTGGTTCTCGGTCGCTTATAATTTGAAGTTTGCCCAAGACATTGAGAGTAAATCTAACAGCAATCTGATGCTGCTGATTAAGTGACGTAACGATTGGGTGTAGTTACAAGCCACGCCCCTCACGCTACAATTTGCTAATAGCTTAAAAGGTAACGACTTTGCATCCACAAGCTTAAGACTTCTAATAAGATAGTAGTGAAGAATCCTGAAGATAATAATGTCCTGAGGATAATAATTTATCATTGTAACATGCTTTGTTTCAGAACACCATCGCCTTCAAACGAGCGAGAGATTTCCGGCACCGAAGCATTGGATGCTTTCGTCACAGGCCTTTACAATGAAACTTTCAACATCGTCGCCGCACTCGTTAACAGGTACGTTTTAATGAGATAGGGTGGGTGGTATAATAATATGTGAAACTTAGTGGGGCTATTAAAACCAAAGTGTCAGATACCGCGCGTTAGAGTTATTGTTTCCATCGTTCTGAAATGACCTCCACTGTTTAATAAATACTGATAAAGGTTGAAGGCTTTTGTAAAAGAGTTATTCTTTTTGTCCCTTTTATAATAAAATTCTAAATCAGATTCTAATAATAAATTTAAAGCTTGCAGTATCTAAAACTAGCCTAAGGTACTCGACTGTCAAGTTTTCCTTTGTTTATACGTTTCAGACTTTTTAGGCTGGGTTGCACTATCTTACTTTGACTAAAACAAACTAAAAAATCTGTCAAACTACAAACAAAAAACACCGGTTATCGTTATAGCTACGGTTAAAGTTAGGTGGTGCAACTCAGCCTCAGAAGGACAGCATTGACTTTTGTGACATCTAGAACTGTTATTTATTATCTTTTTTGTGTGCTCAGGAGTCTATCAACGTCAGCGCGGACCATGGCGTCTGTTCTGCTGTTAGACAGCCCTGGCGCTGACAACCCCATGTGCGCCGGCCAGCAGAGCGGAGCGCCGCTGTCCAAACTGCTCTCCAATTACCTGCAGGTAGTTTTCTTTTTCTCAATTCGTTGTACTTACATAAAAACTGTAGACAATCAGGTCACCGATCTCCGTCGATTGTTGGATTATTGTGGTGGACTCATCCCTAAATTAAGCATATTTAGCTTCGCGGCCCCCCTAGGGGGTATACTCGTATTACTGTACCTAGATAAAGTAGTATTTGTGGTATATTGGGACGTGTAAAAGTGCTTTTTAAAAGCCTATTTGCAAAAATAAATGAGTTTTTTTAGATTCAAATTCACGATGGCTGAAGTTTGAACGGAGCGAGTCACTTTTAAAAAAGATGAAACGACGCTATTTCAGAATTAAACTGCCGGGAATGATAGGTAGGTACTTTATCTAAGACACAAGGGTGTTATGTCCATCACGTTATTTTCTACTATCACCTTGTGTGCTGCTCACATTAACAATCTCTCATATATCATCCCGAAGCCTCTAGCTAGAGTTATGTCTATTATTCAGGAACGCCTGCAAGCCGTATTCCACGATGCAATGCTGGTTGCGCCGAGAGAGCGCTATGCGCAGGAAGGCATCACCCTCGACGATGGAGCTGAAGAAGGTAACGTGGACTTCATTTGTTTTCGTAGACAGTAGTTTAAGGTTCAGATTAACTTATTTACTTACTCCGAAAACTCAGCGACCCAGTGTGATTTCACCTCTGATAGGCGATGTTGCCAGTAGCCCGCTTCAAGCCCGCAAAGATGTATTAGCCACCATAAGTTACTGACTTAACCATACGGAGCAACAGCATGAATGTCTTAGAAAGAAAACTTGAATTCAATTAACAAACTTCTTATGTACTGTAAAAATGCGACACTCCCATGGATATTGAATGGCAGAAGGGGAAACGAGTTAGCATCCCTAGGGATAGAATAAAGTATTTATAAAGTTTTCTAGTAATAATTTGGTATTTATGTGTGCCAAGCAGTTAGTTTCCGCTGATTGGTCTTATTAATAATTTTCTTCCGTAGACTGGCTGTCCGAGACAGTGAACCCTGGTCCCATGGTGGAACTCCTGGACAAGTCTCCGCAGAACACGATCGTGCGCAGCTCGCAGGCTGACTTACGAGACTGCGACCGCCGCGGCCTCTTGTGGTAACTTGAATCTAAATATATGTATATGTAACTCAAAGGTGACTGACTGACTGACATAGTGATTTATCAACGCACAGCCCAAACCACTGGACGGATCAAGCTGAAATTTGGCATGCAGGTAGATGTTATGACGTAGGCATCCGCTAAGAAAGGATTTCACGGAACTCCACCCCTAAGAGGGTAAAACGGGATCCACGCGTACGAACTCGCGGGCGGCCGCTAGTAACCTATAAAGGTCATAGCAGACATAACAACTCGGAAAGAGATAAACACCATATCGCCTTTTACGAGCTGTCATCGCTTTATGTGCGGTGTCAATCGCTAGGCGAGGAGTTTACGTTACGGCGCGGATAAGTGTGCGTTGAAGTATGGAGTTTAATACAAAGAATACTGACTGCCTCGAGGTGATACGGTTACATACGGACATACTATCGCTCGATTCTGCCAAATGACGTCTACTGGATTTTCTCCCAAGGATTTCCATAACGACCGCTCCTGTGCTCCCCCCTCATCCAGTTTAGGTGCTTCCCGCGACATTCTATAACTTCACAAAATTTCTGCTAGAATGTTGTGTGTTTTCATACATAAACTGCTTGACTGTTATTGATAATTATACTAAGCACAGAGTTAGATTGGATCTGGGAAAAAGACGTTGTAGCACAAAACTTAAAATAGGATTAAATATGATGATTTTGTGGATAAATATCAGTGACTTGACTGGATGAAATCAGCACTGTACTGTGATGTGCTTTTTGTCGTAAAAATAAATCTGAAAGGAGTAGAAATAGGGGATGAAAGTGTAGGAGAAGCTAACATATTTTCTCAAGTTTCATATTCGGCGCTTTGTAAAGGAACAGTTTCATTTTCTTTTAGTAATAAATAATGTGTTTCAGTATGAAGACTATGAACAAAAAAGTGTTCATTCTTTGCCACGTACTCGTAGATCATATTCCAAACAGAATCCATTTTCCCATAATCGTTAACCTGCAATTTTCTGCCCAGGTTGCTGGACGAGGAGTCAATGTACCCAGGCTCGTCCGACGACACATTCTTGGAGCGCGTGATGACGCACTACGGCGCGCCCAACCAGACCCAGTACCTGATCAAGAAGGCGCCGCATGCGAGACAGTTTGTCTTACAGCACTTACAGGTATGTCCTACTTCCCACTTCCTATTAATTCCTACTAATATGATGTTTGTTTACAGTACTATTGTTTATAACCGAGAATAACATATAGGCTATAATTTATACCGATCTGTGACACACTAAATTTCATGCGGGTGAAACCGCGGGCAAAAGCTAGTATAATATAAATTGAGTAGTTGATAATAATATTCAGTGGATTGATCCAAAAATCTCTTAAAATACAATTGCAAAAAAAAATGTTGCAAATATTTGATATATTATGACGTCATGTATCACGTTACTAAAACAGCTATAATCGTTCTATGCATGGTTAGGACGGGCGTGCACCATGATGTGACGTCATGCTAAGCTAATTTGTTGCTTGCTTTACAAGATTACCGAAGTGTCTTAGCACGGACTATCCCAACTAATATTATAAATGCGAAAGTAACTCTGTCTGTCTGTCTGTCTGTCTGTCTGTCTGTCTGTCTGTCTGTCTGTCTGTCTGTCTGTTACGCTTTCCCGCTTAAACCTCGCAACCGATTTTGATGAAATTTGGCATAGAGATAGTTTGAGTCCCGGGAAAGAACATAGGATAGTTTTTATCCCGGTTTTTGAAACAGGGACGCGCGCGATAAAGTTTTTCTGTGACAGACAAAAATCCACGCGGGCGAAGCCGCGGGCGGAAAGCTAGTAAATAAATAATTCAAGTATTTTTCACAACTGGATCCAATGACAAGGGCTGTAGATCTTGTATAAGGCTTCAGAGTGATTTTAAAAAAAGTCATAGAATGAAACAATAAAGAGGATAATGTATTGCATCTTTTAGGGAACCAATCCAGTTCTGTATGACGTCACTGGCTGGGTGAAGGCAAGCCGAGAGAGTCCTGTAACCAAGAAGGCTCTCACACTCCTGCAGGAGAGTCAAAAGTAAGTATATTTATCATTCTTCCACCTTTTGTATCATTATGGATGCAATAGATTATTAAGTACTCTTTCTGATAGCATTAAACCACACTCAGAATCAATGCAAAAAGTTTAACAATACTGACGTAAAACGCGCGTTGACGGCGCTTTCAAAAACGTGGTGTGTATTGGCCCTAGGTTATATGGCAGATACGATGGAAAAACAACTCTATCTCCGAAGCGATAAGGTGCTTTTTTCCAGTGGTGACTTCAGCCTCCCGCCGTCGACACACCACGTGGCTATGTAAATAATATATCTTTATCAGTTTAGTAATAAGGTTCGTTTTCCCAGTGATGACGTGGGCCGCCTCTCTTCTTGGGCCCGCGGCGCGTGCGGCGCCGGCTCGTGGTCGGCGTCCGTGGGCGATGCGTCTACGTTGCGACGCGCGTCGTCTATCCGACGCACGCTTACTTCAGGTATTATATCTTTTATTTCCATAAAAAAAATCAAAATGTCAGGGCTTCTACTTTACAGCAAAGAGTTTCGCTGGGTTAGATGAAGCAGGTTTTGTCTAGAGCAGGAGTCTCCAAACAACGGCCCGGCCCGCCACTGCCATCGATCGGGCCCGCGGCAGCTTAAGACTAAGCCTATGTTTGTGTATTGATCCACCTAGGATAGAAATAAAATTGTTATGGCCCTTGCGACATACCAAAAAAATATTATGGCTCCAAGACTTTAAAGTTTGGAGACCCCTGGTCTAGAGTATGACTTGTAAAGAATGAACATCTTACATCCTTGTAAGGGATTATAATACAGGCCATTTGCTATCAACTTAGTATATGCCTAGGCAAAATCAAGCATTTAAAAAAAGCATTTAGAAAAATGGTGTCATATCTTTCATACATCTAAATAAGTCACAGTACCTTGTTTAGTGTTAATTTCATAAAGTATATTTTATGTTCAGTTTTTTGCCCGAATGACCGAAATTCCAAAATCCGCAGAGAAATACGTTCCAATTAACATTATATTATGCTAATTATCAAGATCGAAGTCCGATAATCCTCAAAATGACCGGTCATAAATGAGACAACCAGTGCTTAGTTTGAGAGTAGTTGGCGTTATGTGAAATGTTAAATAATTGAGTACCTATCTATACCAAAAAGAAAACACCACGCCACAAGCCCCTAAAAAAATTAGAACATCTTTGTTCTCTATGCATTCAGATTGATAGCCAATAGCTTCATGTACGGTAGCACCTCAGGTAGCACCAATCACTTTTAATGGCGGCTATTTTGTAGCCTATTGAGCGTCGCGTTTAACAAACCAACATAATATTGTAAATAGTCAAACCTTTAGATCTCGGCCTTAATCCATTGTAATAAAACCACTAACTTTTGGCAATAGAATAATCATGTTTTTGATGTATATCTCGAACTAGAAAGTTTACTACCAAGTGTTATATCCTACGAGATTTTTAATCTAAGCCGTAAACTGTTTTATAGCCGATGCTTGCTATAGAAAATTTAATTAATGAAATGTCAAATTAAGTACGAAGTTATGTTTTTCGTCTAATTACTGCGTTATGCAAACGAATAAAGTATAAACCCATCGGAACGGAAACATTTTTACGGCGCCGAGGCCTTTTAAGTTGTAGTTAGGGTTGGCGATCTTGAAATGTTAAAATTAGAGTAGTCTGCAAGCGTAGCTAGACATTTGAGTATATTTAATGAGTGTTTTTATAAACAAACCTGTTGCTTATTTGATGGCAAGTGATCACCATACATCATTGACTCTATAAAAGTTAGTTTATGATGATTGCTTGCCTTATTAAAGAATGTCGCAAATTTTACGAAAGCAGTTTTAGGGATTTTATCTTCATCGAGACAAGTCATTTCTATTATAGACAGGAAAGTTACTTTGTGTATTTTTTACGGCTTCACTATTTTATTTACGCTTGGCAACCCTAGTTGTAATGAGTGTTAAAATTTAAAAGATTGAGCGATTGTAAGTGTTGATATAAAAATATGGTTTTCCGTTTCAAAACTATGACACATAGGACAAGAACCTTGCTAATTCGTATTAAATAAACAGAAAGCGCTAAACATACATATTAATAGTAAAAGATCATGTAATTATTATGTAATATGCTTATTTTTAGCCTCAGCTGCATTATTATTAATCTCCTTTGAATTGTAAATATGTTTTGATTGTCAGATGAACTAAAATCTGTGCTTCTATTTTATTTGTTATTATATCATTAGATAATCTTCTTTCTCTATATCGTTGAGATAATTAAAACAATAAAGACACTAAAGTTGCAGATTCGATGTTTGTATTTAAATACATCTCAATTATTTAAAAACAATCATCATCATCTCAGCCATAGGACGTCCACTGCTGAACATAGGCCTCCCCCAATGCTTTCCATGCTGCCCGGTTGGTAGCGGCCTGCGTCCAGCGCCTTCCTGCTACCTTTATGATGTCGTATTAAAATTAATTCCGTGAATTATTCAAATGTATTCTGCACTCGTCTTATCGCTGTGTTTACTTCTTTAAAATAGCGTACTATGTACTGCCAAAATTAGTTGCAAGGATGTAGAACAACCTTGTGTGTAAGTTGGAATTTAATTAATTCCTACTAATATTATAAATGCGAAATTTTGTAATGATGTATGTTTGTTACAGTTTCACGCAAAAACGTATTTTAATGAAACTTTATAATATTATCACTGTATGTGGTATTATTGTTGGACGAAACCGAACTGAGGTGGAATTGTGTAAAGCAATCGTAATCATTTTGACAGTTCATAACGTACGATAAAGTCAGAGGTGGAATTGTGTAAAGCAATCGTAATCATTTGACAGTTCATAACGTACGATAAAGTCAGTTAAACAAAGCATTTGACAGAATAATCGTACGTTATGAACTGTCAAATGATAACGATTGCTTTACACAATTCCACCTCAGATAAACAAAGCGTTTGACAGAATAATCGTACGTTATGAACTGTCAAATGATAACGATTGCTTTACACAATTCCACCTCTGATTTGGATGAAACTTTACAGTATTATTGTTTATGTATACTTACATCAGAATAACATAATTATCTTCTTCTTCCTCGGTCCCTCACTGATGAGGATCGCGACCTCATCTAGTGTTCCTCCACAGACTGCGTTCCTAACATATAGGCTACTAGGCTATAATTTGTAATGATCTGTGACACCGAATTCCACGCGGGTGAAGCCGTGTGCAAAAGCTACTTTTGAATTAATGTGTTTTTGCTTTCGCAATAGGCACAGCTGGCATGAAGCGGCGGTCGACTGCTCTTCAAGCGAAGTTCGTGGCGGACGGCATAGTGGATACGTTGCGTCGATGTGGATCCGGTGGTGTCCAGTTTGTGTGCTGTCTGCTGACCAACCAGCCTTCGGAGAGCCCTGATGACGTCAATGTGCCTCTACTTCGGTCACAGGTGAGACAGAAAATATATCGCTCGTGGCGGACGGCATAGTGGATACGTTGCGTCGATGCGGCTCCGGCGGTGTCCAGTTTGTGTGCTGTCTGCTGACCAACCAGCCTTCGGAGAGCCCTGATGACGTCAACGTGCCTCTCCTTCGGTCACAGGTGAGACATTAACTATGTCGTTCGTGGCAGACGGCATTGGGGATACGTTGCGTTGATGTGGATCCGGTGGTGTCCAGTTTGTGTGCTGTCTGCTGACCAACCAGCCTTCGGAGAGCCCTGATGACGTCAATGTGCCTCTACTTCGGTCACAGGTGAGACAGAAAGTATATTGTCATTGTGCTATGTTTGGTGATAGATCTGCTAACCACTAACATTGTGAGAGAGTACTAGTATTATGTTATAGATCGTTTCATCCACGAAGACGCGTCCCACTATTCTTCCGCTAATGTTTGAGTGTTATCGTTAAACGCTATTATCCATGAGTGCACGCACACTACAATAATGACGTTCGGATTGCTGGGATCAAACTCCACCCTCCCTCTATCTGTATCGCCTGTATCCCACAACTTTCACACTTAAACCTCCCATCTGTAGAAAAGTTCCATGGTCCCTTAGTTCATTGATTAGTGTATTGGCACTGGACCATTTATTGTCCCGAAGCATGTGGTAGGGTTAATACTAGGACGTGTAAAAGTGCTTTTTAAAAGCCTATTTTCCAAAATAAATGAGTTTTGTGAGTTTTTTTTTATGATTTGTCATGTTCTTTACAGTTCCGTGGATTCCAACTGCTGGATGCAGCGCGCTTGTACAAGCAGGGATTCCCCGAACACATGCCGCTTTCGGAGTTCGCTAGAAGGTATTATTTTATACACCATTTTGACAGACGGTGGAAGGGAATACCACTCTATTGTAGATTGCAGAAGAGTGAAATTACCTTCCATCATCTATCTACACTGGTATTTCCAAAGTGCTTCTAAATCGAAAGAAAATGATGAGTGAAAACAATTGAAAATTATATGAGCCTGCCGCCTGCCATATAAGCAAGATTTCTCCTCATAGACCTCATCAACATGTAATTTTAATTATGCATAAAATAATGTATAAAATAAAAGCATGGCACATGTGACAAAATATGTTGAATTAACTTGGAATTCCTCCCGGGGATTTCGTCAAAGATGACCAAACATTGAACCACCCCAACCAGTTTGGCCAGCAAAAGGAGTGTAGGCCAAATTCTCAATTTGCTTCTGGTGAATTAACATTATGCCATGCAGAACCAGAACCTGATTATGATGATAATGATTATTTTCCTTAATCTCAGATATCGGCTGCTAGCAACATCGGAGAGCGACGAAAACGAGAACAACCAACAGAACACTTTGTCCGACCGGCAGGTGGTCGACGATATGCTCCTAGCTTTAGACCTGGACGTCACCAGTTACAGGCTTGGATTGACTCAGGTAAGTCATTTACGATCTTATTTAAACGCTATAAAGTGCAATTTGTTGTATACTATTAAAAATTAAAGTCAGCGAAAAACGTCACCAGTTACAGGCTTGGATTGACTCAGGTTAGTGATTTACGACCATATAATATAAACGTTATAAAGTGCAATTTGTTGTGTACTATTAAATATTAAAGTCAGCGAAAAACGTCACCAGTCACAGGCTTGGATTGACTCAGGTTAGTGATTTTCGACCATATTTAAACGCTATAAAGTGCAATTTGTTGTGTAATATTGAAAATTAAAGTCAACGAAAAACGTCACCAGTTACAGGCTTGGATTAACTCAGGTTAGTGATTTACGACCATAATTAAACGCTATAAAGTGCAATTTGTTGTGTACTATTAAAAATTAAAGTCAGCGAAAAACGTCACCAGTCACAGGCTTGGATTGACTCAGGTAAGTCATTTACGATCTTATTTAAACGCTATAAAGTGCAATTTGTTGTGTACTATTAAAAATTAAAGTCAGCGAAAAACGTCACCAGTCACAGGCTTGGATTGACTCAGGTTAGTGATTTCCGACCATATTAAAACTTTATAAAGTGCAATTGGTTATGTACTATTGAAAATTAATATAAGCGAAAAACGTCACCGGTTACAGGCTTGGATTGACTCAGGTAAGTCATTTGAAACCTTATTCCGAGGGTTTAAAGCCCAAATTGTTTTACATACCTATGTATTATGTTAGTTTGGATTGACTGAGGTACGATTACGACTATATTTGGAAGTCTTAAAGTTCAAATTATTATGGAATGTAGTTAGCAAAGGTGCCCTATACTTGGACGTCACCAGTTACAGGCTTGGATTGACTCAGGTAGGTCATTTACGATCTTATTTAAACGGTTTAAAGCTCAAATTGTTGTGAAATGTATCAATTGTAGGTTATCATTATATCAAATCGACAGCAAATAATTTCGCTGTAATAGGCTTTCGATATAATGGGGGATAGCACTTAAAGCTTAATGCTTATGTAGTTGCAATAAGTGCGATTTTGCATTGGACTATCAAAACAATCCAAAAGCACTGGGCCATGTAGGTTATGTCTTTGGTCATGATCATCATCATCATCTCAGTCATAGGACGTCCACTGCTGAACATAGGCCTCCCCCAATGCTTTCCATGTTGATCGATTGGTAGCGGCCTGCCTCTCAAGCAATCAAAAGCCAAAGGTCGTGGGTTCGATTCCCACCTTAGGGAGTTCGATTTTTTCAAGTTATTTAAAAAATATCAATCAAAATAGAAAGATCGTAAAAGATTTCACGGTCGTCGGGTTAGATCGCGGGAAATTGATAAGGCCTTTACGAAATTCAAGCACGAAGTCAAGGGCACATACTAAGTAGCATAAAGGTCTACTAGCCCTAGTTAATAAAACACCGTTACTTGAGAAAGTAGACGCATATAGTCACGTTTTTTTCGAGATAACGTCAGTAAAAGTCGTTGTCCCACGGTGCTTCATTTCCAGGTTTAATGTTTTATTTTGTCTTCTGTTACAAATCTCCTGAATGCGCGACACGTGTATGTAATGTATCTTACTCGTATACAGGGTGTCCCAAAAACAATGGATAACCCTATAACCATCGATAGACCTCGCTATGGTCTCCCTAACGTCCAATTTTGACCCCAGTAAAAATATCACCGTTTTCAAGATTTTTAAGTTTTTGTGCATTTTTAGAAAATTGCCACCTGCGATTACTTTTTCTTATGCCATTTCTACAAATGAGGATACTTTTCAATCTAGTTTCTTTCCTTATCACAAGGGATAGTTGGGCTATCAAAAGAAAAGATTAAAATTCAACAAACTAGTTTAAAAGTATGAAAATTTTAAGAAATTGCAGAAAAGAAGGAAAAATTAATTCACTGTCTTGCACTTTTGATCAGCCATCGTGTAAAAAAAATGTAGGAAGACCATCGTGCCCATTAGCTTAAAAACTTCCTTAGTTAATTGAAATTCTAAAAAGGTATCACAAGCTTATGTATTCTGTATTATTTTTATCTTATGGCTACTTGAATAGCAACTAGTATGAAAACTGCAAAAATGAGTTTTTCTCGTAATAGTTAAACTAGGACTGCATAGTGGCATTAAATACAAATGCAAATCTTTAGCGTAGGAATTTTAATGAAGCAACATTAATTTATCATCATCATCATCATCATCATCATTTCAGCCATAAGACGTCCACTGCTGAACATAGGCCTGTACCCCAATGATTTTCATAATGACCGCTTGGTAGCGGCCTGCATCCACCACCTTCCTGCTTACCTTTATGAGGTCGTCGTTCCACTTTGTAGGTGGACGTCCTACGATTCGCTTTTCGGTACGTAGCCTCCACTTGAATCCTGCTGCCTCAGTTCTGCGAACTACTGTGCCCTGCCCATTGCCACTTCAGCTTGCTGATCCGTCGGGCTATGTCAACGACTTTAGTTCGTTTACGGATTTCCTCATTTCTGATACGGTTTCGTAAAGAAACCCGAGCATAGCCCCTTCCACAGCACGCTGTGCAAAAAATCCACGTTTCCGAGCCGTGTATCATCATGGGTATCTGTCTATAGGCACATTTATAAGGTTTAAAACAAAAAATAAGTAATCACAAAAATGCAGAACTGACGGCCGATGGGGCAACAGGGTTCAAGTGGAGGCTACGTACCGGAAAGCGCATCGTAGGACGTCCACCTACAAAGTGGACCGACGACCTCATAAAGGTAAGCAGGAAGGTGCTGGATGCAGGCTGCTACCAAGCGGTCATTATTAAAATCATTGGGGTACAGGCCTATGTTCAGCAGTGGACGTCCTATGGCTGAAATGATGATGCTGATGATGATAAAATGTTGCTTTATTAAAAATTCCTACGCTAAAAATTATCCATTTGTATTTAATACCACTATGCAGTCCTAGTTTAACAATTACGAGAAAAACTCATTTTTGCAGTTTTCACACTAGTTGCTATTCAAGTAGCCATAAGATAAAAATAATACAGAATACATAGGCTTGTGATACCTTTTTAGAATCTCAATTAACTAAGGAAGTTTTTAAGCTAATGGGCACGATGGTCTTCCTACATTTTTTTTACACGATGGCTGATCAAAAGTGCAAGACAGTGAATTAATTTTTCCTTCTTTTCTGCAATTTCTTAAAATTTTCATACTTTTAAACTAGTCTGCTGAACTTTAATCTTTTCTTTTGATAGCCCAACTATCCCTTGTGATAAAGAAAAAAACTAGATTGAAAAGTATCCTCATTTGTAGAAATGGCATGAGAAAAAGTAATCGCAGGTGGCAATTTTCTAAAAATGCACAAAAACTTAAAAATCTTGAAAACGGTGATATTTTTACTGGGGTCAAAATTGGACGTTAGGAAGACCATGGCGAGGTCTATCGATGGTTACAGGGTTATCCATTGTTTTTGGGACACCCTGTATACGCTGTAATAAAGATATTTTATTTCAAAAAATATCTTCTCTAGTGTTAAAGATTTGTGATTCCATATTACAGAATTATTTTGTATTGAGCTAGATGTAAAGCAGTACAATTTTAATATGCGTACGAAACAAATCGTAAACGAATTCTTCAGAAATTTCTAAATAATTTTATTTATGATTATTTTGTCAGAAAACGATGAAAATAAATGTAGGAAGATAAAGTTTTATTCTACCTTCATTAACACTTCATAGCAATTTACTGATAAAAACGATTCGGGCTGAAATGTCATATAAATTCTCCAATAAAACCATGCCCGTATCAATTAACACATCCGGAAATTATGTCAAAGCAATAGAACTTAAAGATATGTTTGATGGGAGATAGCTGATTGAATATATTATCAACTTAATATGGCCGCTAACATTTTAATTTTGATGACATTGTGACGACTGATAGTTATTAAAAATTCATCGCTGTATTATATTAATTAGTAAATTATGAGCTCGATATTCACGGTAGCGGTAACTTTGATACATTTTGAATTAATCTGCGAAGAAGTTTTTAGTACCCGTTTTGAAAAATCTATAATTTTTTACATCTTCAATAAGGGTTACCTATCGTTTTAGCGCTCTCCAGTTGGCGTTGTAGAGTAAGGTCCTGTCACTTGGTAGATACTATGGTCCTTTTTCTAAACTAAGAATTTTAGCTTCAGCGTGCTCATTTGTTACTTAAGCATGAACTTTTCATAGTTAATGCTTAAAAGTCGCTGCGCACAGGATTTATGCTATAGCCACACACAAAACGCCACCACCAGCGGCTTAGGTTGTAAAATTACTAAGTAGAGAATGAGCACGAGCAAGCTAAGAATCTCTATTCAGAAAATGAGGGTAGGAGAGGGACGCCACCCTGTTGAGTGCAAATGCAGAGTCCTACCTCTTCAATAACATTCGTCGTAGAGTAAGATCCTGTCACTCGCCAGTAGTGCCAACTGTTTGAAAGGCGATAGCTATCATTCAAAGGCTTGAAATTACGCTTGAGATTGAATGGAGGCTTGAATGTATGGTTTCGTAATACGGCCCTCGGTATTGCCTCGTCATTGTATCAGTTTTGGTTCAAACACGAAGTTAAAAACGATTAAATCCGTTCGTCATACTATTGACACGATTGGTTACGCTTATTCTGAATCGATTTGAATTTTGATGGTGAAATCAAAATTAAACCTTTAAAATTTTCTCTCGAACTTTCGCACGCAGAATATTCCAGAAAAACATTGGTTCAAATTATTTTGAGATATTTATGATTGATGATCACGAAAACGCGCTCTCTGAATAACATCAATCTTTTAATCTGCGATCTCCAACCCGCCTGCCAAGCGAGGGTATTATGGCAAAACCCTCCACTATAGTGGAAGAGGCTCAGAGTTCAGCAGTAGACAGTACCTAAATGGCTGTTGATGATGATGATGATGATGATCACGAACCGTGAGGACTTTATTTAGTACATATTTCCTAATTTCACTACTATCATTAAACATAAT